GTGTGACCAGGGTCAGGGCTCATCGTGTGATCAGGGTCAGGGCTCAGAGTGTGACCAGGGTCAGGGCTCAGAGTGTGACCAGGGTCAGGGCTCAGGGTGTGACCAGGGTCAGGGCTCAGGGTGTGACCAGGGTCAAGGCTCTGCTGCTCCCAGTGTTGCCTCCTGCCCAGCTTGTGGGGTGTCTCATCTGGGCAGTTTCTGTGGACCCCCAGGAAGGCTGAGTGGTGTCCCCACCTGGGCTCACACTCCCTTGTCCCCCTCTGGGGTGTACGGCAGGGCAGACAGATGGCTCAGAACGTAGCCAATGTTTCTCTGTTGTGGAGAAAGTGCACAGACAATGTAAAGGCCTCCCCAAGGCAGCTGCTGTAACCATTTCCTCTGTATCCTTCCAGAAGGATTCTGATTTGGATGTGCCCTAATTTCCCACCTCTGTACTAGCAGGCATTTAGGGTGCTCATAATTTGTGCTGAAAACCTGCTCAGTGAGCGTCTTATTGCACAGTCTGCACACCCTTCAGCCATAACCAGTGGGACGAGTGCTAGGAGGGACACAGCTGGGTCGCTCTGAGAACTCACGTTATCTTCCCATGCGCCTCGGGGCTCCTTGTCCACGTGATTGGGGCTTCTACTCCCATGTCTCCATCACCACTGCCCGACCCTTCCAGGAGATTTCCAGGAAGATAAAGGTGGCAAAGAACTATCATTCGTTGCAGGAACTTCCCAAAGGTCCCATCGGCTCTTCAGTGGAAACCATCAAACGACACTTTACACTCAGAAGCCCTGCCTCAGAATCCTAAACTATTTTATCAGGGTCCTTACCCAATGCTCACCAAGTCCCCACATCAGGAGACTTGCCTTAAACCGGGTTCTCAAAGCTCAGGGGCACGGAGAGGCGGGGGCTCTGTGTCGGTGGAGCGCTCCCTCCCGTCCACAGGTGTTTGGGTGACATCTTGGGGAGTCAGCCTTCAACAAAACTCTAGGGCATCTGAGGGTTTTATAGATGGCACTGATTTGCCTTCCACGAGGCTGCAAGAGGCTGCATGGATTCCCACCAATGGCACGGAGGGCTGGGTTCCCTGCCCTTTGGTCACCATTGTCTCATCACTTTTTTTGCTCATGGATTTAAAAATGCTACTTCCTTTACTTTGCTCCTCTTTGACTCCGAGTGTGGTTGAATTCCTTTTTCTCTGAAAATGCTACTCATGTCCTTTGCCCCTTCCTTGTGGATTTGTAAGTATTCGTTTTTTTTTTTTTGTGAGGAAGATCGGCCCTGAGCTAACATCTGCCAATCCTCCTCTTTTTTTTTTTTTTTTTTGCTGAAGAAGACTGGCCCTGAGCTAACATCCATGCCCATCTTCCTTCACTTCCTCCACTGGCTTGCCAAGCGGTGCATTGGTGCACGCCCGGGATCCGAACCGGTGAACCCCAGGCCGCTGCAGTGGAGCTTGTGCACTTAACCGCTTGTGCCACTGGGCAGGCCTGTAAGTATTCTTTGTATGGGAAAAGAATAATCATTTTTTCCATATGTGGCAAATATTTCCTACTTTGTCTTCTGTTTTTTAGTTTTGTGTATGGTATTTTTTTCATGTATTTCTTTTTAGATTTTTATGTAGTCATGGATCTTTCTTAATTTGGATTTTGGGTCTTGTTTTTTCTTTTTAAAACATTTTTCTTCCTTTTTTCTCTTTAATTTTTAACAGCTTTATTGGATATACTTCACATACCATACAATTCACACATTCAGTGTTTTTGTATAGCCACAAATATATGCAGCCATCACCAGTCAGTTTGGAACACTTGCATTGTTTCCAAGAGAACCCCTTACCCTTCAGCTATCACCCCTTGCCCCACCTCCCTTTGGCCCCTGGCACGACTAATCTACTTTCTGTCTCTACAGATTTGCCTAATCTGGGCATTTCATATACATGGAGTCAGAATATGTGGTCTTTTGTGTCTGGCTTCTTTCACTTAGCATAATGTTTTCAAGGTTCATTTAAGTTGTAGCCTGCATCAGTGTTTTGTTCCCTTTTATAGCTGAAAAATATTCCATTGTATGAACAGACCACAATTTGTTTATTCATTGTCAACTGTGTCAACTTAAAAAGTAAATTGGCCAGTTATTTTACCTGCAAAACAAGTTTATTCAGGAACAACCAAAAGAATTGTAATTCAGGACACACAGGTCATGGTGGACCACAGGCAAATCCAGAGAACAAAGGAGGGGAGCTTACTTTTATAGGGAAAAGAGGGAGTTCGGAGGGGCTGCGATAAAAAGTCCATTGGAGGAAACTAGGAGTCCAAAGTATAGAGGCTTTTTATTGGTCGGGTTCTACAGCCTCTCACTGGCTGGGCTGTTGCTGGGCAGGGAAAGAAGTCTTCCCCCTGCCAGGTAGTAAAGTCGTAAACACTTTCCTGTGGGAGATGCAAGCCCAGGTCTCTTCCTGGTTGGTGTAATTGACAATGTGTGATGGGGGTGAGAGCTCCTCCTACAGGCCTCCCCACTCCACTTTAGTTAAGGTTTCTTTTATTCATTTGACAGGGGGGAGGGAGGGAGGGAGGGAGGAAGCAATGAACTCTGGGGGGTAGGGTTGTCAAGAAAAAGAACAATTCTGTCCCTTGTCAGGAGTTTTGCATTTTCAGCAATGAGGCAGGGAGGGAGGAGGAGATTTTAGCTCCAAACAGGAGATGGGCTGCTGGACCGAGTGGTGTTGGATGACGAGGGACAGCGCTCAGAGCACCCTGCACACGGGCACACAGTGAGCAAGCTCTGAGACGATGAAGGGAGGGAGGCAGGACGATGGAGAAACGGACTGGCTTTGGGTGCTGCAGACCAGGTTCCCGTCCTGCCCTGGCTCGCTGCAGGGCCAAGCGGGTCACCTCCCAGTCTGGACTCCGCTGTTTACGCTAAAGCAAGGACGGCGTGAGGACTGGGGACGCTGTGCTGCCCGTGGGCGGCGGGGGGAGGACGCCAGCAATGATGAGGCACATGGGGCTTCCTCAGAGAGAGTCACAGGGCTCTGACCCCCCATTCTTCAGGTGACAGGGCAGTGACCCCAGGCCAGGGGCTTGTTCTGTGGGGTGGAAGGTAGGATTTCAGAGGAGGGCCACTTAGGCAGTGAGGGGCCTGTGGGTCAGAGATGACTCAGTGGATACAGCACTGGGCAGGGCTCTCGTGATCCGCTGGCCCAGGGCTGAGCCAGGCTGATGGATGGCTCCTCCCTCTGGTGGCCACCAGACCCCTGTGACCCAGCCCTGGCTGCGACAAAGGCTTTGCCAGAGGCCCCACTCCCTGTTGTCTGTCCCCCGCGATGACCCAGGGGCGGTTCTCAGAGGTCTGTGGTGGGCCCTGGGCCCCAAGCCTCACAGACCCTTCCCACAGGACAGGGGGCCCCCACAGGGCCCAGGCGAGGAGGGGGTCCCTGTGGGTGGGGACAGTGGGCGGATCCGAGAGACTGCTGAGAGGAGGGGCTCTGTGCCTGTGCCAGGGACCATCTCACGCAGGGCCACGCTGCTGGTGAGGCGGCCACGGACCCAGACTGGGAAACAGAGGCCTTGCCAGGTGAGGGCTGGGGGCGCGGGGGCTGGTTGGGTTTGGATGGGGGGCAGCTGGTTTTGTTCGGGCATCTGGGAGGGTGGAGAGGCTGTCCCAACTCGGAGCTCTGTGGGAAGGTGACAGACACACCCGGTTTGAGGGGGGATGTCACCAAGTAGCTCTGGGGCAGGCATCTGGGCTGCAGGGCTGGAGGTGGGGCGTGTGACAGAGGAGAGGCAGGGACTCCCCCTCCCCACCCAAGAGAGGTAAGAGGGAGCCAGGAGATGGGGTACCCAGGAAACAGGTGCGGCTAGGAGGTCAGGCCGGGGAGAGCTGAGGAGGGCCATCAAATTCAGTGTGTGGGAAGGTCACTGCAGTAGTGGGGCGGCCTAGGTGCTGGGGGAGGGAGGTGTCAAGCCAGGGGCAGGGCACTGAGCAGTGAGCAGCCCTTACAGGGACAAAGACAGCAGGAGGGCTTAGCTGATGGGCCTGTGGGTCCAGGAAGGGGGTTCGGGTCGGGGGAGAACTGTGAGTGATGTCCACAAGCAGTGGGTAGGAGCTGGCGGATGAGGAGGGGCCAGTGCTGCAGGAGAGGGGGATGGGGCAGGAAGTGGGCCCCCCTGAGGTGGGGAGTCATAGCCCAGGGCTCCGTGGTGGCCAAGATTGGAGGGACGGGTGCAGAGCCATGGGGGAGGACATAGGAAGGAGGTGGCCCAGACCCGTGGACTCACCCCGCATCAGGCTCAAGGCAGCGGCCAGCAGGAGCCCAAGGAGCAGTCACCTGTTCTCCTGGGGAGAGGCCAGGGCACCCAGGCTGCCGTCTTGTACCTGCTGCAGCTCCCCGCCCGCCCCAGCCTGGCTCTGCAGTGGGAGTCACCCTGCGGCCCCCTCAGCCTGGGGAGCCGGGCTGGGGCCTGGGCAGTGCTGGGGTCCAGCCTGGCCCCCAAGGCTTGCTGGCTGTATGCCCTCAGCGGGGGCCTAGTTTAATCCCATGAGCCTCTTTCCTTGTGCATCCAGCAGGATAAGCCCGGGTCATAGGATCGAGGGTCATGTAAGATGGCCTGACACAGGGTGGGCCCTCAGCACACAGCCTCCCTTGGGTGTCCTGGAGGTGGGCGTCCAGCACAGGCCCACGAGTCTGTCCCCTCCCCTAAACATGCAAATAGGGCTTAGGGCGGGGTGGAAACCGGAAGCCTTCACCAGCACTCCCCCCAGGGTGAGCTCTGGGGAGTGACTGGATCTGGTTACTCTCATGATTGTACCTAGGGCCCAGGACCTGTGGGTGTTTTCCTGGGGGTGGGGGTGGGGGTGTAGCAGAAAGGCCCTTGGTATTAAAAGGGGCCCATGACGGTGAGAGCCCAGAAGGGCACAGCTGAGAGCAGGAGCCGATCCGCCAGCTGCACGCCCACCTTTCTGCCAAAAGCTCTTGGAGGATGGGGCACCGTGGGGCAGAGCAGGTGGCTGTCGACTGGGGGTTGGCTCTGCCAGTGCAGGGGCCCCTGTGTGTCTGCTCTGGCTACCCAAGTGGCTTTTGTCCACCCTCTACCTGGTGGGCTCCTCAGGGCTGGGGCTGGGCAGCCTCAGACCCTGCTCCCAGGTGGAGGAGAAACCAGGGAGCCAGAAGGCTGGGGTGGTGGGGTGGGTTCCCGGGGTCCTGCCTCCCTCACCCAGCCCCCACCAGCCTTCCCCAGGGACTCCACTCAGAGGGAGCACTGGGTGAATGGTGGGTCTGCCTCTCTCCATGGAACCGGGGGTCCCTCGGGAATCCTCTGCCTCTCCTGTTCTCTCCCCTCCGATGGGTGGTCCTCTTGCCCTGTGCCAGGGCAGGCTCCAAGGTCAAGACTGGATGAGCCGGGGTGGACAGGAGACTAGGACCTACAGAGCCAGCAGGACCAGCCAAACCAGACAGGAAGGGTGGGGCGGAGCTCAGGCCAAGGTGGCTGGCGGGGACAGAGAGAAGGGCAGACGTGTTTATTCATCCATTTATTCACTCGCCTGATGAGCTACTGTGCACAGTGTGAGCAGGGGAAGGGCTGTGGCCTGAAGGCGGATTCCCATGCTGGTCAGGGTCAGGGTCAGGGCTTGGGGTTAGCCCTGCAGCAGGGGCAGGGCCCTGGGAAGTACCCAGACCTTGGGAGCGGGACAGAAGGGCAGGGGCACCATTCATCCATCCATCCGTCCGTCCATCCGGGGCCTCCTGTGTGCCAGGCCCTGAGCTGGGCACTCACACCCATAGCCTCGTTAATTCCCACGAGGCCCCAGCTTGGTGGGAACGAGCATTCCCATTTTATCAATGAGACAGCCGAGACTCAGAGATGTGAATGACGAGCTCCAGGCCACCCTAAGGTGTAATATCCATCAAAACTCGCTGAAGGAGGCGTGAAAAAGAAAGGGGCCTCTCAATTGCTTTTTACCTTTTTCAGAGCTGTAGAATTATGACTAAAACACGTGTTCATCACAGCAATCAGATGTTACGAGGGAGATGAAGAGCAGGGGTCTCCCTTCCCCACATCCAGCAGCACGGGCCGCAGCTCTGCACTGACACCTTCCACATGTCTTCTTTATGCACCTGGGCCAGACCAGACACACCGCGCTGGAACGCGCTTTCCACCGCAGACGCCAACCTGACCGTGTCTCCAGGTCAAGGCCGGCAGCTCCAGCTTCTCCTCAGTTGTGTTCCAAGGCGAATACACAATACGATAGTCCACGGTGGGGGGGGCGGGGCAGGGGGTGCCACAGCGGAGTCGAGCAGCCACTCCTGAGAGATAGCCTGGATAGGCTTCCAGATTTGAGACACCACAAAGAGCCACAGGAGGAGCCCGAGCATCTATCCATATTGAGGGGAACCTCATTTCTGTTGGAGAGATCCCCAAAGTGGGACCGCCCACTGCCTTGCCGGCAGTCCAGGACCCATGGTCCTGACACAGGTGGGGCACGCCGGGGGTGACTGGCACCCCTCTGCCCTCCTCTCTCTGCTGCTCCACCCATGGCCTGGCACCCAGACATGGTGCTGGATGCCCTAGCTCTGGCCCTCATGGCTTCTCAAATCTCTGGTTCCAATTTTCTCCTTCTAAGCTTTCCTGACCCTAAGCCCTTATAATTATTTAACACGCAAAGATTCTCTTAAGTTTATAAACCCACCTTCCCGGCTTCCCCCTCCCAGGCTCAGGTGTGCAGAGCCTCCCAGCTGGTGGGAGAAGAGACTGCATGGTAGGGAAGGAGTGTGGTGGGTGGGCAGGGAGGCCAGCCAGCCTGGGGGCAACCACTTCACCTCTGTGCCTCAGTTTCCTCACCTGTCCAAGGGGCATGATAATGGCTCCCCTCCTACCTTGCAGCGCTGTCGTGGAGGGCTCAGAACCACGACGACAGGGAGAGTGGACGGATGTTAGTTACCATCCCCATCGACACCGTCCGCACAAATTTACCGGCTGGACTTCCACCAGCACTGCCCTTCGAGTCCCCGTGTTCTGCAGCGCCACACACCTCCCACTCACGGCCCCGGCCCAGCATTAGCTGAGTGCCTTCCGTGTGCTCTGCGCTGCGTTCCAAGGACAGCAGCCCCCGTCTGTGGTAGCGGTGGGGGACAGCAGGGTCCCAGGGGACTGGGGCAGCGTGATCGGCATTGGGCTCGGACCAGGTCAGGGTGGAGGAGGCATGGACAGATCAAGGCAGGGGGCAGCTGTAAGGAGCGCCCCCCAACAGCGGCACGCCCAGCTCCCACTGGATCCCTGCTCTCACTGACCCCAGCCCACAGACAACCAGGCAGGGCTCTACTCCATCGCCCCCTGGGAGGGACCCCATCCCGTGGCTCCTCCCAGCTCTGGCCCAGGACACCACTTGACCCAGGACAAACGGCTTCCCCAAGCAGGGTAATGACTTCGCCCCAGGCCTCTCCCGCTGAGTCAGGAGGTCACAGCCCACGTCTGCCCTCCCTCCCAGCTAGCATCAAAGGCCTGTGCTGGCCCTGCAGCCAGCTTGGGGATGAGGGAGTTGGTCACTTCTCTGAGGCTGACCGCTCCTGGGGGTCCTGCGGGTGTGGGAGCTCAGGGATGGGGTCTGACTTCCTCCCAGCCTCCCCCAAGGACTCACACCTGATTGGGCCTCAAGGGGAGAGACACCCGGGTCCTGGCCTGCTGTCTGGGCTGAGCACTGGACCAGCCACTCCTTGGGGTTCAGCTTCTTCCTGTCTTCTGGCCTGGGGTGAGGCCAGTCCTTCCAGATCCTCTGGGAAGTCCAACCCAGGCCTGCCTGAGGACCCCTGCCCTGGCTCCCCCAGGATGCCCTGATCGCCTGAGCTCCCACCAGCTTGGAGAGAAGCTCTCAAGACAGAACTTCCAGCACAGGCTCCCCTGACGAGGGCCATGCTTTGGGGCCAAGGCCTTCTGGGTTCCAGGGACAATCTCACCACACAGGCATTTGCCACCATCCTGCCCACTTGGGCTGGGCCAGCTTGAGGGGGTTCCTCAGGCCCCTCCGCAGACACTGGAGCTGGGGGCACTGGCCAGGTGAGGAGGTCTGTGTGACACCAGGCACAGGGATGTTGCACACCCCGCCAGGCCTCACTGGAAGCAGGGCCGGCGCTCCCTGGACCCCTCTATCCAGGATGGCTGGTGCTGGGTACACCCGTGCTTCTCAGCCTGGCTGGGGATGGAGCTCATCTGGGGTGGGGGCCCTTTAAAGACCGCCGACTCTTGGTCCCTGGGGGTACCAACGCCCAGCTGGGTTGGGGGCACCTGGAAGCCACTCCCCGAGTCCAGGCGGGAGCGCTTCAGCCGGGTGCAGAGTCAGGGGATAGAGGGCCCGCGGAGACCCTCGGCGCCAAGGCCGGCTCACCGCGCGCTCGTTCCGCCGGGATCCTGCTGCCGGCCGGCCCGGACACTGGTCACCCGGAAGGAGGGTGCAGAGCGAACCCCGAGCGGCGCCCAGCGAGAGCGCGGCCCTCCTCCCCTCCTTCCGGGGACCCCGCCTCCCCGACCCCTCCTTCCGGGGGCCCCGCCTCCCCGACCCCTCCTCCCGGGGGCCCCGCCTCCCCCTCCCGCCGGCCCCGCCCGCCCCTGCCCAGCGCCACACCGTCCAGGAGAGGGCGAGCCGCTCGGCCGCGAGATTACCGCCTCCCCCCCCCGCCCCACGACTTGGGTGGGAGCATGCCCTCGGTCGCCGGGCCGCAGTTTGCCCCCCTCCATAAAGGGGCACGCCCCGCCGAGCCTGCTGGTGCTGAAGACCAGGCCTCGGGCGGCCCACGGCCCAGCTCCCTTCCCTCCCGGCCCAAAATAGCCCTGGGGTCAGCGCTCAGGCCCGACCAAATATAACCGGCCTGCCCGCCCCGCCCCCACGTGCCTGCCAGCCGCAGGCCCATCGCACAGGCCAGAGCCCAGGTAGAGAACGGGAAGGTCAAGAGTTTGGCTGAACAACAAGGGAAGGACCCCTCGCTGGACTCAGAACCTACTTCTGGGGCTGGAGGGGCGGCAGGAGCCTCTCTAGGCTGAGCCACCCCCTCGCCTGCTAAGTGCTGTCTGTACGCCTGGGCCTGGCACTCCTGCCTAGGACAGCGGACAGGGACAAAGGCCTTCCTCACATGGCCCTCACCTGACCTCAGGGCTGCCAGGAAGGTGGGGCGCGTCTCCCTTCAAATCAGGATGCCTTGGCTGACTGAGGAACCCCCATAAACAGCACACTTTGCCAGATGCCCCCATCCTCGGATGGAGGAGGGGCTGAGCTTCCCCACCAATGCCAGACCCCTCTGGGAGGCCAGTCCCGATCGGCCTTGAAAAGGAAAGGTCTTGGCCTCCAGGCCCGTGGTGGCTGGGGGTGGTTGAGTCCTCTTGCAGACAGTCCTGGGTGTGGCTGAAGGGGTCTGTGGGGGGCAGAGAGTGGGAAGGGTGTGTGCAGGGTGAGAGGGGGGCTGTGCCTCTCAGAGCTTTGTCCTTGAGTGCGGCTGGCGGGGGGCTTAGAGCAGACTCCAGAGGGTGGCCAGGAGTACAGGGACCAGGGCCAGAGCCCCAGGGGCGGCACGGCCAGCGCCGTTGCAGAGGTCATACTGGCAGCAGGAGGTGGTGGCCGCGTGCTTGGAGTAGCCATCATACACGGTCTCGAAGCAGCTGGGCACGCACGACTTGCTCACCTTCATCCTGGTCGGGGTGTAGTCTGCGGAGGGGTGGGGCAGCGGGCCAGGACCCTGAGTCGGGCAGACCCCAGCGTGCAGGGCCATTGGGCAGGTTCTCCCCCCCGCCAGGGGCTCCCAGAAAGGATCCAGGGCAGGTGGGAGCCTCCCTCCTCAGTAGCGCCCCCTCAGTCTCCTGGGAAGGGCTGTGGGGGCACCCTGCCGACTCACAAGTGCGCGTGGTCATGCAGTAGGTGACCATGGCTGGGCAGCGCATGGGGCTGAAGCAGTTCTCCCCGTTGTAAGTGCACACATGGCAGTCCAGAGCCTGGGCTGGGGCAGGGGTGGGGCAGGAGGGGCACGGGGTCACAGAACAGGGGGAGACCCCCTCCTCCAGCCCGTCAGACCCCCAGTCCCGTCACCTTCCCCAGGGAAGAGTAGCTAGCTGAGGGGAGACCTCCCTCCCCACTTACAGCCTGCCTGCCCCCACACTGGGTGTGTCCATCCCTCCATCCTCCATCCATCCTACCCAGGGGTAGGCCCAACAGGGCAGCCAGGAACAGGGCGAGCAGGGGCGCCATGGCTGGAGGCAGGAGGGCACAGTGGGAGTGGGGAGGTGGACAGCAGCTGGTCCTGGATTCAACTCAAGCCAGGCTGGGGCAGGGCACAGAGGGGGTCGTACAAGCCCCCTGCCCTCCGGGAGCTCCCGGTCTACTGGAGGCGCTGCTGCAGCCCTGCACAGAGGGGGACAAGGACAGGTGGTCACTGTGGGAACTGAGGGAGCCACGGGGGCCTGGGCAGGGGTGGCAGGGGCAGAGGAGCCACCCAACTCAGCCTGGGCATCAGGGAAGGTTTCCTGGAGGGGACACGGGATGAGATGAGAAGGGAGGGGTTGGGACATTCCCACCAGAGAGACCAGCGCCTGCAAAAACAGAGACCTGGGCAGATGGAAGGAGGCAGCACGAGAGTAGGGGGAGCAGGGTCCAGGGAAGGCTGGGGAGGCCTTGAATGCCAGACCATACCCTACACCTTACCCAGGGGATGGTTCATGCAGGGCCTGATGGGAGCTTGGCACACACCCCCTCCCCACCCAGGGCCCTGGGTGCAGGGGGCCTGGCCAGGGCACAGCTGGGCCCAGGGGTGGGTCTCTCCTCACTGCTCCCCCTCCCCTTTGCTCCTGGGGTGTCCCTGCGTGGTCCCCCACTTCCTGCTACTTTCAGGCCCAGCTAGGGGCCCCTCGCCTGGGAAGATCTCCAGAGCCCTGCCCAGGTCTCTCAGGTCTGAGTCCTTCGTCACTGCGGGAGCTCCCGGCAGCGAGGACCTAGGTCCAGCCTGTGGAGAAATGCGCGTTGAATGCATCCCAGGAAGGCACCTGGGCAAGACAGCAGGAAGGACTTCCCAGTCTGGATCTGGCGTCTGGAATGGAGATGCCACTCTCCTGGAAGGGGGTTTGGGGGGAATCTGGACTACGACTCTCCTCCCCCCGCGGGATATTCCGGCCCGGGTCCTCGCCCCGCGGGAGTAACCTAGACTCCCCCCTTCCCGAGAACAACAAACCCATCTTCCACGGCCCATTTCTCAGGCGTCAACCTCAGGATGCGGAAGGTCTGAGTAAGGCCGGGCGGGCGGCCCCTGCGCTTCCCGCCCCCTCCCGGAGAGCCCCGCCCCAAAGACTGCGGTCCCAAGCTGGGGAGGGGGTCGCGGTGACCTGCACCGTGACCTTCACCACCTGAGCCCCCGCTACGCCCGGGACTCACCCGCGGCCGCTCGCCGGGCCCTCCTCGGTCTGACAGAGCGTCT